GGTAATTCTTGCTGCTTGTATTCTTAACTGGACAGAATAACACAAAGCCTCTGCTCAGCGCACGAAGAGAACGTGAAGGTTGGTTTTTTTAATTAGGAAATTAGTCATTTAAGTTTTCCTGCCCGGACGTTGGTCAAACACAGCAGCGCTGACCACGCGATTGCTTTTACGGGGAATTTGGCTGCCCTTTGGCTGCCCCCGAGGCTGGGAGCTGCCTCAACGGAACGCAGGGACAGACACCAAACGACAGGTAAGCAGTGCCTCTTCCAGAAAAATCAAGGAAATTTAATGCATCTCCGTGGTACGAGCTGCGGGCTGAGAGCTGGAAGGGTCGGGAAGGTGGTTGGGGGTTGTGTTTTTGGGTGGCACTCGCTACAAAGAGATGCTCGGTCTTCACATCACCCCCATTCCCAAACCGTCGACTCTCCTTCGAAGGGGATGTTTAGAAGAAAGTGTAACACCACGCTGCCAGGTTGCATCTATGCCCGCGTTTATTTATACTGAACAGCTTTAAAAATACAGAATAAAATAGCTTTATCTACTATTATTCACAACATCTGGTCCAAATATTACATTTTTAAATATTTAATTGTTTAATGAAGCAATGTTAGAAAAAAAAATATGAAATAAAAAAAAAAACCCTCCATAAAAGAATTAACACACCTTGGAACAAAAAAAACCCAAAACAACCCACAACAAAACAAAAAACCTCTTGCTGTTCAACAAAAAAAGTTATACAGCCAAAGTCAGTCACAAAAAGTCATGAAAAAAAAAGAAATAATATTTATCCCCACTGCCTAAGAACAGTCAATAGTTTGTTACGCCGAAGGTTGTTATAAACAGACAGAAGTACAATAATTTGGACTGGCAGCAAGATGATTTACCTGGAAAAATGCATTAAATGCCAGATAGTACACAAGGCAATCCTAAATATATCGCTCGTATCGCTATGTACGGATGACAACGCACGGTCACAGTCAAACTGGAACTAGACAGGAATATTTCGGATGGCTCTGAACACGGATCTCCAAGACTTAAAAGCAGCCCAGCACGAAGCTGTACAGACTCACGGGCAGAAGCGAAACACCAGCAAACTCGTGGCCTCCTCCGACACCGCGACGACCCGCCGCAGCTGTCCGAACGTGAGAGCGCGCAATTCCTGCCATCCCGGGGCCGGAAAGGCTGTTGGCCTCAAGAAATCCTATGAAACATGCACCAAGCGGGACGTTTTCTGCAAAAAATGAGTGACCCACCGCTCCCCACCCTCCTTACAAAAGCAAAAAAAAACAGGAAAAAAGTCGCTTTTGGTTTAAGAAGGCCACGTGAAGGAAACACCGTAGGTTGTGCTGGTCTGTCACACATGCATTTTCTACACCGATACACAAATTATGTCAAGCACAGGTTGGGTTTAGGTTGTGTGTGAGCACCCAGGGGCTCGCTCACACCATGAGAAACCGGTTGTTTTACACCCCGTGGAGCCGGAGTGCTGTTTGTACCACAAATGATGCGATTTTCAGCACTTCTGATGAAGGAGGCAACGCGAACAACGACCGCTCGCGCTCCCCGGTGCTCCTGGGGGTACAACTAGTGCTGAGGGCTCTGCGTCGGGAGCACCAAGATCTCAGTAGGGAGATGAAGAATGAAAGAAAACCCTTTAGTTTTTGGTAGGAACATAAACATGGGTAAATAAAGTATACACAACTACTATAGATTCGTCAATGAAGAAATTCTACCATCACATGACATTGTCATGACAATCATACCACTCCCTCCCAGGAAACCGGCGATCGTTATCCTGAGCGGAAATGTTATTTTTAATATATGGAAATAAAATACTGCAATATTCATGTACAAACCAAGTTGCCATATTTAAAGTCAGTATTAAAAGGCATAAAGCAAATTCTGGGTTTGAAGTCTGAACTTTCTGCGCGAGGGACCCGCTGAAGTTCCCCTGCCAACGTACTCCAATATGACAACGTTGATCAGTTACAGCTGTCAGCTACGAAACCTAAATTTCTATAGGTATAATTTGCAAGTATTTGCTTTAGAAAACATGTTTCAACATGTTAGCAAGACTTCTTAATTTAACCTAAAAAAACCCACAATAGAATATCAATTACAAAAGTCCCAAGTTACTTTGTTTTGCACACACTGATACCACCTTGGATATGACAAAATGATATTTCTACCACGAATATTTGCCCTTCCGTCTTAAAGTTTGGTTGAAACGTCTCATCGCCTCCTAACTCATCTCTCGGGTGTCGTCTTCCCCGGGTGGTTTGGTCGAGCTGAGCTGTTTGCCAGGCAGGCAATAACACAGAGAGGAAAAACACAGATTCCTACATCCAGCCACCCCGAGGGAAGCAGCAACACGAAGTATTTAACCCTTTGCTACACATCACAGGTGCTTCAGCCGATCTCCTCTGCAAAAGTGAGGCTCACCTCTAACCATTCGTGTTCATGATAGGATGGAGAGAGCTGTTACACGTCCAAATTCGGTCACAAAGATGACTGTTGGCTACAACTACTTGGTTTAGTGTTACCAAGGTAAGTGGCTGGAAAAGCAAACACGCCGGCTGGACGCTACCGCGCTTCTCGCAGCCAGCCAACAGAACCGGCACGGCAGGACCCAAAGTCATGGAAAGAATTAAATCCCAACAATTAAACAGAATAATCAGACTTCACCTGTTCGGGTCGTCTTTGCTACGCTGCAAGGAAGGGCTGGTGTTCTGCTCCAGGGAGAAGAAAAAAAAAGAAAAGATCCTGGGATTTGCTGCCCTGTAACTCGAGCGGAGCATCTCGGCGACTCAAAGCGAAGGCACCGCAGAACACGCACGGCCGGAGGTGAGAGAAGACAAACGCGACTTCTCATCGCCTCCTCTCTCGGCTGCACTAAGCACTGAAGTTACCAGGAGAATATTTGGGGGGAGAAGGCAGAAAAGCCTCGGGACACAGGTGTCAGTGCCGTGCTCCGTGCCCAGCAGCATCACTGCACTTGACGTTCCTGTGTCCCCGAGGTGGCACTGTTTGAAATACAAAAATTCGCCTCCCTTTCTCAGCATTTATAAGATAACCAAGTTTGGTGCTTTACATCCTTACAACCACCGTACACAGGTGGCCTTTTTTTCATTTTCCTCCTTTTATATATATATAAAATCAATTTAACTCCCCCATGTCCCCCACGTATCTTTGGTTGCACATCAAGTTGGGAAATTTAGAAGCTCCGTGCCACTGATTAGAGGACTCCACACTCAAACCACCTGCAAGTGGCTGTGGAAATCTAACACCTCGCTACCTTAAGAGGAAAACTTGAAAAATGATAAAAATGACTTCGTTTCACAGGCAAACTAACCTTGTCTACTACACAATAACTCTTCCGACCAGCTTTCGAGATAGTCCAATTGACACCAAGACTGCAAACTACTGAAAGTTCCCTGAAGCAGGAACAAACACATGCTTCGTTATGGAAAAAGCGGTATAAAATAGTTTGTGGAAACAGCCATGGCATGCTGAGAACGATATCGACGGCATCATTCCGACTCTACACTACTCAGTACCGATCCGTTAAGCTCTTGCCTTGCCCTCCCCACCCCACCCCTTCCATGCTTCAATAACCAATAACAAATTCCCCTGGAAGTAGACTCAGAGAAAACAGAGTTCCTGCGCTCCCATCCAGTGGTCAAACTCCGATAAATATATGAGTGAATTACAGGACCTACTGTCAGGCCTTTCCCAGGAATACAAAACGCAAGCACCGTAGAGCATACTGGCCTTGAAATCACATTACACTACATTTCCCTGATGATCTCCACAGCTTAAAAACGCTTTTGGGGCCACACTGAAGTCTAAAACTAACTTGCAATAGTAAGAACATTAAACAGGAATAAAACTTTTAATTATGAATGCATGATGAGCATGAACACCCACATAACATCAGAGCTGAGACTATTCCAAGGGGTAAAAAAAAAAAAAAAAAAAAAATCTGAATGGTGCCCTTATTGGACCCAATACCCGTTAAACCATGCAGTGGATGAGGACATCAAATGTAGTGTCTCTGCCATCCCAGATCACCTCTGCAGCAGGAACGCCCCGCAAAGAGAGAAGGAAAAGAGGGAACTCAACGTTAAGTCGGTCGGAGGCGGCGTTGGCTCTTGATGTCCCACCAAGAAAATTCCGCGTGGATCCAAACCAGCGAACGCCGGCAGCGTTTTGACCACGTGGCTTTCCCTGCAGGGAAATCTGGATGTACACAGATGTTAACTGCTTAGAACTGCTCAACAAATCAGTTTTTGTTCAGGAAACGTCTTGCTGGATACAGGCATCACACTGAAAACTGTCATTGGGTCCTGTCTGGAAGCAAAAAGTTTCCCATCCCCGTCAAACTCGAGCTGTGCGTGTCCCTTCTAAGAAAACCTGCGCCTGGACACCAGGATTAGGTGATTAAATGTCAGGCAGAAAAAGCAAACGTTTCAAAACGTGGGCTGACATGAAATGAGTGGGTCCTTCTACAGCACTAAGGTATCAGAAGTCGGCTGCAGTTTTCCTCGGGGAAGTCAGTACAGAAACTTTCTGTCTTAACGCTGGACAGCTGAGAACCACCAGTAATTCAAAAGATCACTCTAGGCATTTGCCAGGATCAACTAAGCCTGGTTTCCAGGGGGCTAAAAATATGGAACGTGCAAATCAGTGAGCAGAAAACAATATAGATGGGA